TCTTTCCCTCACTTCCTCCTTTGGATGTTAGCTCTCTGGCTCTGATTTCCTCTGCCTCCTCTGTCTCCTTGTCCTTAAAGACATCTCGGGTCACTCTGCCTCTTTCACTGTCACCATCTCCGTAAATAATCGTAGTTGGCATTTTCTGAGCACTTTTCTCCATGCCAGGAACCATTCCCAGTGCCTTTTACGCATTGACTCATTTTGTCCTCACACCCTCATGAGAGAAATTTTACAGAAAAACTTCCATTTTACAGAAAAGGAAATCGAGGCTCAGAGAAGTTAAGTAACTTATCCAGAGTCACAAAGTGAAGATGCGGCATAATCACCTGTTGAACCCCGCGCAGCCTGGTGCCAAAGCTCTAACCAGTGTATTTGACTCCTTCAATCGGTATCTTTAAAACCTGAACCATGATCCACAGTAAAGAAGACATTCGCTTTATAACCGGTAGAGACCGATGTATATATAACGTTTCATGAAACAAGACTTTCCCTTACTCTACGTGTACACATATTTTCCATTCTTCTTTTCTTCTTTTTTTTTAGCTGTGTTGGGTCTTCGTTGCTGCGCGCGGGCTTTCTCTAGCTGTGGCGAGCGGGGAATGCTCTTCGTTGCGGTGCACGGGCTTCTCATTGCAGTGTCTTCTCTTGTTGGGGAGCACAAGCTCTAGGTGTGCGGGCTTCAGTAGTTGTGGCATGTGGGCTCAGTAGTTGTGGCTCGCGGGCTCTAGAGAGCAGGCTCAGTAGTTGTGGCTCGCGGGCTCTAGAGAGCAGGCTCAGTAGTTGCGGCTCATGGGCTTAGTTTCTCCGCGGCATGTGGGATCTTCCCGGACCAGGGCTTGAACCCGTGTCCGCTGCACTGGCAGGCTCATTCTTAACCACTGCACCACCAGGGAAATCCTCCATTCTTCTTTTTAATGCTGGTTGCAACCTGCTAAATTATTTCATGCAGGGCTTCCCTGGTGGTGCAGTGGTTAAGAATCCACCTGCCAGTGCAGCGGACATGGGTTCAAGCCCTAGTCCGGGAAGATCCCACATGCCGCGGAGAAACTAAGCCCGTGCACTACAACTACTGAGCCCACGTGCCACAACTACTGAAGCTCGTGCGCCTAGAGCCGTGCTCCACAAGAGATGCCACTGCAGTGAGGAGCCCATACACTGGAATGAAGAGTGGCCCCCACTTGCCGCAACTAGATAAAGCCTGCACGCAGCAACAAAGACCCAACACAGCCATAAATAAATAAATAAATAAATAAAAGAAAATTCGTTCATGCAGGTTGTGACCTGAAGTTTGAATAATCCTGCTGCACGACCCGGGGTCAAGTCACTTCACCTCCCTTTGCCTCCACTTCCTCATCCACAGGACGGAAACAAACACTCATTGATTCAGTGCAGAGACCACATGTGTATGGGGCCCTGCACATTCCAAGTTCTCAATAAACACAACATTCCTCTCTATTTCTCTTGGTTCTACAGGACTTTGCCTTCATTCTTTTACCATCTCTCCCTCCTCTCTCTGTCTCTGATCCACTCTCTCCCTTGCTTCATTGTGTAAATGTCACCTCCTCTGATCTAGGTCACAATCTCCCACAGTCATACCTACCCCCAAAGTTGGCCAAGCGGCTGACGCGGGAGGTGGGCACCTTGCGCTCTCGAGAACGGTCACTCAGCTGGGAAACGGAGAGAAGGTCTGAGCGGGAAAAGGTGGACACAGCACCCAGGAAGTCCAACCAACCTGCCACCACACCCTTCCCCAAGCTCGGGAGGCCAGCTGCCTTCATGGGGTGTTGCTGGGTCTGCGGCAATGATACCTGGGGCCGGGCTGTCTTCCTGATCCGGGCCTCCCGTGCCTTGCGAATGTCCTCCTCACCCAGGCCCCTGCCAGGCCCATCCTGGTGAAGCTTTTGGGTCCAAGGACCCCCACATGGCCCCTGCAAGAGACGTGAACACCGGTAACGAGTGAAGAACGTACCATCAGCCTGGCCCCTTTAGACCCCTCCCTGTCCTTTGACTCCCTGAAGCCTCCCTCAGCCTCCTCCCCTTGGGACCCCTCTCCAGCCTCTTACCCAGCAGAGCGGCCCAGGCCCCAGGGCCCCACAAGGCAGACCAGTAGTCCGGCCCCACTGTCCACAGGTCCCCCGTAGTAGGCCCCCCACCTCCAGCCACATTGTCTGGGGGAGAAGAGGAGGGATTATTCGGGTAGGAATTGTGGGACTGACCTCCCTGCTTTGCCCGTCTTTGCCTCACATTCCTCCGTGTCCACCCTAAGACTCCCACCACCAAAGACTTCCTCCCCTGTTAACAGGCCCCCAGTTTCGCCTGGTTCCCTCTCTCGTTGCTAAGAACCCATAGCTCTTCCCGAACACGTCTCCAAACCACTTTCCCCTGGTCCCACTCCGCGCCGTTGCTAAGGTCCTCCCCTGTTGCTAGACACCCACAGATCCTCCAGAGCTACCTCTCCACTCCTCTGAGCACCCCCATCGTTGCTAGGCACCGCCTTCCCCTCGGTTGCTAGGCACCCACAACTCTTCCGGTGTTCCCCCCTACCAACCCCGTTACTGGGTACTTCTCCCGGTTGCTAAGCACCCACTCCCCGGGTCCGGGTCAGCTACGCGCAGCGGGGCGGCTCCTGCATTTCTGGAAGTCTTCTCATGCCCGCCCCCTCCGGTCAGCTAGCGAATGATGGAGGAGCAGATCAGGGGCCTCAGGGTGGGCTGGGCCACGGCCTAAGGGTAGGGTAGGGTGGGCTGGGCCACGGCCTAAGGGTAGGGTAGGGTGGGCTGGGCCACGGTCCGAAGCACTCACGTGCTATTTTGTGCCCTTCCACTCACTTCAAAGTGCCTTGTCCGCGGCGGACCTTTTAGTTTCCTACACGTCTATTTTACAAATATTCCTCTCCTTTACAAACTCCACAACCTCTCCTTTGCGCGAACATTTTGTCAGCCTCCGTTTTCCTTATTTGTACCCCTAGTAGGCTCAACATCTCTCCTTTGAACACACATCTTCCCAGCAAACATTTCCCTTTCACATGGAGCCCCTCCACTTTGCACACCCACCCTCTGCTTCAAATACCCATATCCTGGTACCCAACCTCCTCCCTTGCACATATAACCCCCCTGCCTTGCTCACCAACTGTTGCCCTCGGTGTGCATAAACCCCCTCACACCTAGCCCTTTGCACACTGGGCCCCTGTTCCCTCCTACACCCTGCTCTCTCAGCTCCCCGCCCACCTGCAGGATGGTGTGAGTGGGAGCCCTTTGTTTCCTGTAGGCTTGACATTTTCCAGAACACACTCAGCCAAGATTCCCAGTGCTGACTCAGGAGCCTTGGCATCCCAGAAAACCAGCTCCCAGCCCATCTGGGTGTGTGTGTTGTTGATGGGGGAGGGAGGACAGGCTTAAAGCCTGCTTCCCCCCTGCCCCACCCCCGGACCCAGTAAACTGACTCACCCCTCTTCTCACAGTCTGGAATAGAAGCAGCTGGCTGGGACAACTCTCCCACCACTGGGAGAGAGGATATGACACTCCCCACACAGAAATGCCTCCCCCAAACCCTGTCTAACCCCCTTTGTCAGGAATCAGACCTCCCTGTCTCCGTCCCTGTGCTACATGACCTCAGAAGAGCCTCAACACTTTCTGGATCTCAGCTTCCCAGCCTGTATGATGCATTAGGGGGACCCTGCTATGACTTCCCATTGGTCTGTAAAGAGATGACTCATTTTAGAGCCCTGGGTCTGTGCCCAATGCCCCTTTCCAGGTGACTGTTTCAAAACAGAAACCACCCCCTGTACTCTTCCAGACACAAGGATCTGACTCAGGAGCTAGGTGGCAGCTCACTCTTGGGGGCAAAATATATAAAAAGCACCTATGACAATAACTTATCCTACAGGGCTGTGACTCATGCTACCAAGCCTGGTATCAGATACATGAGATCATATCAAATAGCCTGGTGGCTACAAGCAAAGACTACAGGCTGGCAGAGCTCTGAGCCTCAGTGTCCCCATTTATAAAGTGGGGCCATGGCATCCCCTCTTGCTCAGTGTTAGTGAGAAAGAGATGCAGTGAAACTGTCTGTAGAGAGGTTGGCACGGAGCTGGTATAGAACAAGAGCTCTATACATGAGAGAAACTTCTTATAGAAAAACTATTCTTTTCAAAATTTCTATTGAGAGCTTACCACTTGCTTTTCTAGGCACTGGGGACACAGCAAGGAACAATACAGGCAAAAATCTTTGCCCTCTTGGTGCTGGCTTCTGGTGAGAGGCACAATAAAATACATAAGTATATGTAATAAGGTGACACTGTTAAAGAGAAAAACAAACCAGGGAAGGGCAGGGAGAGGAGGGAAGAGTGTGTGTTTAAATAGGGTGGAAAGGAAAGGCCTCACTGAGGAGACATCGTTTGAGTAAAAACCTGAAGGAGGTGAGGGAAGGAGCGATTGAAATAGCTGAGGAAAGAATGTTCCAGGCAGAGGGAACAACCAGTGTAAAGTCCCTGTGCTGGAAGATATCTCAGAGAAATAGCAAAGATGCCAATGGGCAGAGTGAGTGAGGGGAAAAGGATTAGATGAGGTCTGGGAGGTAAGCAGAGCCAGCTCAGGTATGGTGAAGACTGTAGCTTTTTTCCTGAGGAGAATGGCAACCACTGAGGATTCTGAGCAGAGGCAGGACTGATTTACAGAAAATATTCTTACTTCCGGCTCTTCTTCCAACACCCCCAGCCTCAAAATCAAGTTGTATCACTCAATAGTGACCGAAGGGACTTCCCTGGTGGTCCAGTGGGTAAGGCACTCCCAATGCAGGGGGCCGGGGTTTGATCCCTGGTCAGGGAAATAGATCCCACATGCATGCTGCAACTAAGACCTGGCTTGGCCAAAATAAATAAAATAATAAATAAATATTAAAAAACAATAGTGACCAAAGACCCAAATTTTGGATTAGATGGGCCAAAGTTCAAATCTACACAATTGAGCTGTGTGATCTTTTTTTCCCCTTTTTTTGGCCTCTCCAGGCGGCTTGCAGGATCTTAGTTTCCCGTCAAGGGATGGAACCCAGGCCCCCTGCAGTGGAAGCACAGAGTCCTAACCATTGGACTGTCAGAATTCCCTAGATGTGTGATCTTGACTCACCGCTTTGCCTTTCTGTGCCTGTTTCCTTGGCGGTGCAATGGGGATGATGATCAACCCTACCTTACAAGATTTTGGGTATAAAGCCGTAAGTACAGCGCCTGGCACAAAGCAAGTATACAAATGTAAATGCTGTTGTAAATAAATAAAAATCCCCATAACAACCCTTTTTACAGATGGGGAAATGGAGGCTCTGAAGAGACAAGTCTGTTGGGAGAGGTCATCCAGGAAGTAAGTGCTGGAGCCAAGCTTTGAAACCAGGAGTTCTAGCTTCAGAGATTAAGACCCTGGTTTTGCCCGTCATTTAACCCTAGGCAAATTCTTTCATTGCTCTGGGCCTCAGTTTCCCAGTTAGTAAAAGTGACTGGCTCTTGTGGCACTGAGCACACATTTTTCAAAACAATAAAGTAATATAATGTATCCTCATTTTATAGGTGTGAAAACTGAGTCTGGGGCTGGGGCAGGGGGTTGGGAGAGGAAGTCACTCGTTCAAGGTAACACAGCTAGGAACTAGCAGAGGCGGGTCTCGAACTCACTCAAGTGGAATTCCCAACTCTTCGAAAGTCCTTCCCGGCGCTGCGTGAAGAATGGGCGCGCTGCCGGACTCGTCGCCGGGGGTTATAGGGAGACTAAACTAGTCACTCGAGGGTGTGGGGAGGTAGAAGGGGTGCTGCGAGGGGCCCCACTGATCCGGGACCAGGATCCCGGCGCTCCACACCTGACCTGGACTAGCTCCATGCGCTCGAGGTTCACCGCGCGAATGGAGACGGGAGGAGCCAGATAAGGCCCATACCCCTTTACGTCACGTCCGGCGGGGCGGGACTTCGGGGCCTTCCCCGGGAGTTGTGGGCGTGGGCGTGGGCGTGGGCGGGGGCGGGGGT